TAGCTTAGGAGAGTCGCTGCCAGTCAGTGAAGACAATACTGAGTTACATGGACCAGAGGTCTGACTTGGGATAAGCCAGCTTCCAACATTCCTGTGCTCCCAATTGCACCAGCTGAACTGAAATAGCTACACAGTTTAAGTCCCCAAAATACCAGAAGCCCACCTTCACTGAAAGCAGGGCTTTCAGTGTGGCTGCCCCAGTTTTGTGGAATGCTGTCCCCATTGAGGCAGGCGCCTGCTATCTGTGCTTTTCAGATTGAGGTTGAATCCTGACAAGACAGAAGTACTGTTTTTGGGGGACAGGGAGCGAAGGACCAGGTGTGCGGCCTGGGAGTCATTCTGGACTCACAGCTGTCCATGGAGGCGCAGGTCAATTCTTGTCCAGGGCAGCTGTCTACCAGCTCCACCTGGTATGCAGGCCAAGACCCTACCTGCCCGCGAACTGTCTCGCCAGAGTGGTGCATGCTCTGGTTATCTCACGCTTGGACTACTGCAACACGCTCTACGTGGGGCTACCTTTGAAGGTGACCTGGAAACGGCAATTAATCCAGAATGCGGCAGCTAGACTGGTGACTGGGAGTGGCCGCCGGGACCACATAACACTGGTTCTGAGAGATCTGCATTGGCTCCCAGTACGTTTCTGAGCACGATTCAAAGTGTTGGTGCTGACCTTTAAAGCCCTAAACGGCCTCGGTCCTGTATACCTGAAGGAGTGTCTCCACCCCCATCGTTCTGCCCGGACACTGAGGTCCAGCTCCGAGGGCCTTCTGGCGGTTCCCTCATTGCGAGAAGTGAGGCTACAGGGAACCAGACAGAGGGCCTTCTCGGTAGTGGCGCCCGCCCTGTGGAACGCCCTCCCATCAGATGTCAAAAGGATAAATAATTACCTGATATTCAGAAGACATCTTAAGGCAGCCCTGTTCAGGGAAGTTTTTAATATGTAACGCTGTACTGTTTTTAACACTGATTGGGAGCCGCCCAGAGTGGCTGGGGAAACTCAGCCAGATGGGCGGGGTATAAATAATAAATTATTATTATTATTATTATTATTATTATTATTATTATTATTATTATCAGAAACATTTGCAAACACACTTGCTTCGACAAGTTTTTTCCAGTTGGGTGAAAAGGAGTATCTGCCTTGGGAGCTCACTTTGTATTGCTATCTAGCTTTCTCGTACTGTTTCCAAAACTACCGTATTTTTCGCTCTATAGGACGCACTGGGCCATAGGAGGGGGAGAACCTCTAAAACAAGGTGCGTTTGGTGCGTTCAAGGTGCGTTCACCCGAAGTCTCGGGAGCCTAGTGGGAGTTCCCGCTGGGCTCCGGAGGCTTTAGGTTCCTTTCGACTTGCTCTTTGGGGCTGGTGGTGAGGGGAAGTGCTGCTTTCTCCCACCGCCAGCCTCCAAACCAGGTTGGGGAGCAGCGCAGAGGTGGCACACCGCCTTCCCGCTGCCCCCCGAGCTTGTGGGGCTGGTGGTGGGGGGAAGCGTTGCAGCCTTCCCCCCACCTTCGTACACCTTCGGAGCGCTCCGTCTCGCTGTTTTGGCTGCGGGGACAGCCTTCGTAGCCTCCGCAGGGTAGCGGAGCTAACCCCAAGCTAGAAGAGTGAGACGGAGCGCTCCGCAGTGCTCCGTCTCCCTGTTCTGGCTTTGAGTTTAGCCGCGCAGCCTGCATTCGCTCTATAGGACGCACACACATTTCCCCTTAATTTTTGGAGGGGAAAAAGTGTGTACTATAGAGCGAAAAATACGGTATTTCAGTGGTATGGCTGCACCCTGCCTTGCGACGTCTTTAGGAGTCCATCAATACATTAATCAATAACAATGCATTGGGAATTGAACCTGCTGGATACAGTCGGGGAGGAAACACAGCTTGGATAAGAGCACGTGCTCCAGGTTTTGCAAAGCTGCAACCAGGATCATACATGACCACGCACCGCTGTGATAAATGGGAGAGGTACAGGAGAATAGGCAGACTAGCACTGTTCATTTCAACAAAACACAGGCAGGAGAGATCTGGCTGGACCGCAATAACTCAAGGACCACTTCCCCTGATATGAACCAACCCAGACCCTGTGATCATGACTGGACGCCCTTCTCCATGCGCCTTCTCCATGCAATGTCTGGAAGATGGCAACACAAGAACAGGGCCTTTTCTGTGGTGGCTCCCCATTTGTGGGGTGCTTTCCCCAGGGAGGCTTGCGAGGCACCAAGCGAAAACATTCCTCTGTATCTAGGCCTTTGGCCAGTTAAACACTCTTTGGCCTATTAAACTGTGTGTGTGCCCAGAGCTATTGTTTTTGTTTGTTATTATGGTATATATTTTTGTGTTTTCATATTGTAAACCGCCCTGTGATCCTCGGATGAAGAGCGGCAAAGAAATCTAATAAATAAATAAATAAGTAAAATAAAAAAGGCGCTTTGATAATACAGTGGAACCTCGGCTGTTGAACGTAATCCGTTCCAGAAGACCGTTTGACTTCCAAAACATTCAATAACCAATGCGCAAAGGGCTGTCAGCAATTTCAATGGTGAAAATGGAAAAACACACAGTGGAAGCCGTTTGACTTCTGAGGCGCGTTGGAAAATGGAAGCAATTCAGCTTCTGAAATGTTCAGCTTCCAAGACGCTCGAAAACTGAGGTTCTACTGTATTGTACAGGCTTAATACAATGTGTGTTTGTGTGTAAGAGAGAAAAGTTAAGAGAACATTAATCAGAAAAGGCATATTTTAAACATTGGAGGAAGAAGCACTGAGGCTTCAAACCAAAAGAGATCAAGACCAGATGGCCCTCCTTTAAAGAAAAGAAATAATATTTGTGAAATATTTGAAATCGACTTTTATTGGAGGGATTTACAGTTTTTTGGGGGGGGAATCCCACAGATTTCCTAAGTAACATATTTCATAGATTCTTTTTAATGTTCCTTTCCTCTTGGCAGAACTACGAAATATTGTCTTGCATATGGGAAACAAATGCTAAGTAGGAAAGGAGAAAGCTCCCAACCACACAAAGGCTCCTAGGAAAATGTGTTCCATTTGGTGCCTGCCCTTCTAATTCGGGGCTGCCATCCGATTAAATAATATTGGGTTTTTATTTATTTATTTATTTATTTATTTAAGAATCTCTGTCCAACTTTGTAGCCCTAAGAGGCTTTCAAAGCAAAGGCAAAAGAAGTTGTCCGAATAGAGCTGTAATAAAACTGCAACTGACATGAACAAAATCAGAATCGTAATTATCTAAAAGCAGCAACCATCGGAATAATCAGAAAAGTTCTGCCTAATAAGTCATGGCAATGAAAATTCATCATGGAGAGGGTTCCATTTTGAAATGTGGTGGGGTTGTTTTTTTGGGGGGTGTTATTGGGTTGTTTTTATTTTGATTATGTATTTTGTGGTTTTATATTTTGATTTTATTCTGTGAACCGCCCTGAGACCTCTGGGTATAGGGTGGTATATAAATTCTATAAATAATAATACTGATAATACTATGGAACTGAAGTGAGTCGTATCTCCTCAGAGGTGAGTCTCACTCAGTTCCATGGGACTTACTCTGAGGTAAGCGGGCACAGAATTAAGCACTGAAGAGCACAGAGAGAAATTGTAATATGTAATTGTCCAAGCACTTCCTATTTAATTCACTTATTCAAAATGAAAGCTATGGAACGCCCTCCTTTGAGGGGTCCGAATGGCTTATTTCTCTGGGCTGCATAAAAATGGAAGAGGAATTAGACCAAAGGCCTAGAGAGTCTGGCATCCTCACACTGGCCATCCAGACTTCTACTGGAAGCCCAAAAGCTGCACCCAAGCACAACAGTTTAAGTGTCTTAGTGTGAGGACACTGGGGTGTGTATGTGTGCACAAAAAACCTCACCCCTTTCTTACAAAACAGAAGCGAAGATTGCTGTGGGTTTTTTACACCAGGGAGCATACAGATAAAATGATGCGTGTATGCGGGTGTTCTGTAACCTCTCAGCAGAGCTCTGCTGCGTCTCCGGCTCACGGCAAGACCCTCCACGGAGCCTGAAGGGGACATCCTTTAGAGTCTCCTCATGAGCCAGAGGTGCAGCGGGGCTGTGCTGAGGCCCTTCGGCCTCCTGGCTAACAGCTAATGCACGGGAAAGCCGTCCTGTCCTTCCTGCTGGAACATGTGTATCAGAGAGGCAGAGCTGAGCTGCAAGGAAGAAGGCTCCCTTTGCCTCAGTTGAGCAGCCTCAGCAAGTCTCTGGCTCATAAGGAGACCCTCCCTAGAGCCCGAAAAGATCCTCTTCGGGCTCTGAGGAGGGTCTCCTCGCATGTGACTGGGAGCGGCCACCGAGAACACATAACACTAGTCCTGAAAGACCTACATTGGCTCCCAATATGTTTGCGAGCACAATTCAAAGTGTTGGTGCTGACCTTGAAAGCCTTAAACGGCCTCAGCCCGGTAGACCTGAAGGAGTGTCCAGCTCCGAGGGCCTTCTGGCGGTTTCCTCGCTGCAAAAAGAGAGGTTACAGGGAACTAGGCAGAGGGCCTTCTTGGTAGTGGCGCCTTCCTTGTGGAACGCCCTCCCATCAGATGTCAAGGAAATAAACAACTTTCTGACTTTTAGAAGACATCTGAAGGCAGCCCTGTTGAGGGAAGTTTTAAATGTTGGATTGTGCTTTTAATACTCTGTTGGGAGCCGCCCAGAGTGGCTGGGGAAACCCAGCCAGATGGGCGGGGTATAATTAATTAATTAATTATGATGCTGCTAGGACTCTCCAGGGTGCTCCCCATTATACGTGATGGGGATTTTCTCACCCAGTTATTGTACCAAAAATGAAAGATAACCAGCCTCAGGCAGTGGTGTTGGCACTTCAAGGTTTGTGCGAAGTCTTGGCCTCCTCAAAAAACACATTGCGGGGGGCCGAAACGGCACCGGCCTCTAGGACTTGGTGCACCTGTGAACAACTCCCCTCTCTCTTGGGCTGAAAACCAAAGGGGGGAAATAAGACCCACTGGCCCATGCCTGCAAATACCTTCCTCGCAGCTCTCTCCTTTGTATCCCGGGTTGCAGATGCAGGTGCCCATGATACAGGTCCCGTGGCTGTTGCAGGCGACGTCGATGCACTGGTTGGTGGGGACGTCGCATTCGGCTCCTTTCCAGCCACTGTGGCACAAGCAGCGCCCTTTCATGTACTGCCCGTTGCCACTGCATAAGACCGGGCAAGATGCTGAGAAGCAGGGAAAAGGAAACAACAAGAAAGGCAGCAGTTAAAAACTTCGTTCGCAAGGGGCAAAGCACTTTGCAGGTACTTAATGGTTTGCGTTTTATTAGCATTGCTCCTACTGATAGAAGGGACGCGGGTGGCACTATGGGTTAAACCACAGAGCCTAGGGCTTGCCAATCAGAAGGTCAGCGGTTCAAATCCCCGTGACGGGGTGAGCTCCCGTTGCTCGGTCCCTGCTCCTGCCAACCTAGCAGTTCGAAAGCACGAAGTACAAGTAGATAAATAGATACCACTCCGGCGGGTAATAACTCAAGGACCACTTCCCCTGATATGAACCAACCCAGACCCTGTGATCATGACTGGACGCCCTTCTCCATGCGCCTTCTCCATGCAATGTCTGGAAGATGGCAACACAAGAACAGGGCCTTTTCTGTGGTGGCTCCCCATTTGTGGGGTGCTTTCCCCAGGGAGGCTTGCGAGGCACCAAGCGAAAACATTCCTCTGTATCTAGGCCTTTGGCCAGTTAAACACTCTTTGGCCTGATAGAAGGGACGCAGGTGGCACTATGGGTTAAACCACAGAGCCTAGGGCTTGCCAATCAGAAGGTCAGCGGTTCAAATCCCCGTGACGGGGTGAGCTCCCGTTGCTCGGTCCCTGCTCCTGCCAACCTAGCAGTTCGAAAGCACGAAGTACAAGTAGATAAATAGATACCACTCCGACCGCAATAACTCAAGGACCACTTCCCCTGATATGAACCAACCCAGACCCTGTGATCATGACTGGACGCCCTTCTCCATGCGCCTTCTCCATGCAATGTCTGGAAGATGGCAACACAAGAACAGGGCCTTTTCTGTGGTGGCTCCCCATTTGTGGGGTGCTTTCCCCAGGGAGGCTTGCGAGGCACCAAGCGAAAACATTCCTCTGTATCTAGGCCTTTGGCCAGTTAAACACTCTTTGGCCTATTAAACTGTGTGTGTGCCCAGAGCTATTGTTTTTGTTTGTTATTATTATTGTTGTTATTTGTTATCTCCGGCGGGAAGGTAAACGGCGTTTCCGTGTGCTGCTCTGGTTTGCCAGAAGCGGCTTAGCCGTGCTGGCCACATGACCCAGAAGCTGTACGCCGGCTCCCTCGGCCAATAAAGCGAGATGAGCGCCACAACCCCAGAGTCCACCACGGCTGGAGCTAATTGGTCAGGGGTCCCTTTGCCTTTACCTACTGATAGCCATCCTTACCTGTTGGAGCACCTGCCTGTTGTTTCATGAGCAGCTGCTCTGTTCAGTTGGGACTCCAAGGGCTAGTTATTGGGCTTTTGAGAAGTCGCGGCAGCTGTGTGTTCAGAATTATTAGCCCCGTCCCAGCCCATGCGCATCAAGGCATCTATTCCCTATATTTTCACATTGTCTTTCCAATTAATGGCTCTTGTGGCTTCCTGAGCTCAGCTGTCCCACGCCTGACCTAACAACCAGCACAAACCTGCCGCGAAAGGTTTCTGGGGATGTTGAATCTGGAGCCTCTGCCAAAGCTCACAATGTCTATTAAGCCTGAGATGGGTTGTTACTCCATTGCCTCTGCTGAGAGACCAGCTGCCTTTGGTTCTGCTCAGCTGTTCTCCAACAGCAGCTGTTCCTCAGGCTACCTGAATGGTTTCCATCCCAGCTGGTCATTCTTAATGACTGCAGTTTGCATGTTTTCCTCCTCCATCCCCACACCCTTTTCCTTTTGTGTGTGTGTGTCTGGCAACAGGGACTGTAAACCAACTCTGGGAACCTTTTTGCTGTTATGAGAATGAGCCACAGCAACCCTTGGGTTCTTTGAGAGGCCTACATGAGTGAACCTTAGCAATGCTGGGACCTCATGCAAAGAACAGACCTCATTGTTTTGCGTGTTTCCTATGACGAGTCTCATGCACTTTAAACTATTTTGCACTGACTTGCTTCAGCCTCGGTTTCCGTGCAAAGCCTTGAGTCCCTCTTTATGGAGCATTGCAGGCTATAGTTTTTTCCCTATAGGGGAAAAACCTCCACAAACCTTTTAACTAGCCACCTTTTTTGAAGGTTTGGCTTTGTGGGAACTTCAGGTAAAGAGGTTGCTTGGACTAGCCCTGGCTCCCTTCTTCAGTAATAATAATAATAATAATAATAATAATAATAATAATTTATTATTATTATTTATACCACAACTATCTGGCAGGGCTTCCCCAGCTACTCTGGGCAGCTTCCAACAAAATATTAAAAAACAGTAATGCATCAAACATTAAAAGCTTCCCTAAACTGGGCTGCCTTCAGATGTCTTCTAAAAGTCTGGTAGTTGTTGTTCTCTTTGACATCTAGTGGGAGGGCGTTCCGCAGGGTGGGTGCCACTACCGAGAAGGCCCTCTGCCTGGTTCCCTGTAACTTGGCTTCTCGCAGTGAGGGAACCGCCAGAAGGCCCTCGAAGCTGGACCTCAGTGTCCGGGCAGAACAATGGGGGTGGATACGCTCCTTCAGATATACTGGACCGAGGCCGTTCAGGGCTTTAAAGGTCAGCACCAACACTTTGAATTGTGCTCGGAAACGTACATTGCACCAGGGCAGGCTCTCTAGGACAGGCACAGGCAAACTCGGCCCTCCAGATGTTTTAGGACTACAATTCCCATCATCCCTGACCACTGGTCCTGCTAGCTAGGGATGATGGGAGTTGTAGTCCCAAAACATCTGGTGGGCCGAGTTTGCCTGTGCCTGCTCTAGGATAACCTCTGAGGTTTAGGCAAGGAAAAGAAGCTGCTCAGAGGCCACCTTATGGCTGACGGGACGACAAAAAAGGTCAGCCTAAGCTCAGCCAGCTATTGACAGAGCAGTTGCTGGAGAAACAATGGAACATAGTGATTGCTTAGCTTCTTGGACCAATTCTTTCCCCAAGGGGCAGTGCCCTTGATGGGTCATTGTTCTCACTGTTTGCTCACATGCAGAAACCAAAAGGAAGGGGTGGGTGTGTTTGGTTGGGGGCAGGGAGGAGTGAGGCCTGTAGAGTCTCAGATAGATAAACCCAAGATAAACCTAAAAGTACAGTGGTACCTCGGGTTACATACGCTTCAGGTTACATACGCTTCAGGTTACAGACTCCGCTAACCCAGAAATAGTACCTCGGGTTAAGAACTTTGCTTCAGGATGAGAACAGAAATCGTGCTCCAGCGGTGAGGCAGCAGCAGGAGGCCCCATTAGCTAAAGTGGTGCTTCAGGTTAAGAACAGACCTCCAGAACGAATTAAGTACTGAACCCGAGGTACCACTGTATGGATAAATGATTATAGAATAGGGGGTGGGCTCAGAATCCATCATTGCCCTTTGCCTGGAAACCCCCACCCCACCCACAAGATACAGTAGGGACAGTAACAAACAGCAACAAAAGTTAACCCGAATCCCTACCTCGTCCACAATCGGGACCCAGGAAGCCGAGAAAGCAATGGCAGGTCCCAGAGACACAGTCCCCGTTCCCGTAGCAGTTGCTGGGGCAGTTATCCACTGATTCTGCGGGAAGGAGAAACAGAGACAACAAAAGAGTGTTTGAAGGAAAAGCAAAGGACATCAGTCATGGGAGTGGAGAACATCCATAAAAAAGGTAGCATAATTCAAACAGCAAACTTCTAATAATAAGAGAATATATTTTGAAAACAGAAACAACAACACTTAAACCATTCTCCGCACCAGATGCATTCCTACATAAGGGTGACAGCAATTAAGTTTGGTACACTAAATGCCAACCATTGTGGATTTCTCCATACAGTTCCAGAGAGAGGGGAGTTCTATGGACCCAGTTTTGCAGGAACAGCAGGATCCCTTGCATTAAAACAAACATGTGGGCACTATATGTGCCAAAACGTCCAAGCTTGTCGTAGAAACATAGGAAGCTGCCTTATACTGAGTCAGACCACTGGTCTATTTAGCCTAGCCTAGTGTTGTCTACACCAATTGGCAGCAGCTTTCCAGAGTCCATTGGTTCGGGTCCTACCCTCCAGAGCAGGAAAAAACAAGCTTGCTCCATCCTCTACATCAGTGTTCCCCAACCTTGGGCCTCCAGCTGTTTTTGGACTACAATTCCCATCATCCTTGACCACTGGTCTTGCTAGCGAGGGATGATGGGAGTTGTAGTCCAAAAACAGCTGGAGGCCCAAGGTTGGGGAACACTGCTCTACATGACATCTCTTTAGATATTGGAAGATGGCCATCATATCTCCTCTCCAAACTCCTCTTTCCAGGCTAAACACACCCAGCTCCTTCAACCGTTCCTCATCAGGTTTGGTTTCCAGACCCTTGATAATCTTATAGCAATAAATGTAATTTTATTATATAACCCCCACCCATCTGGCTGGGCTGCCCCAGTCACATCTTGGTTGCCCTCCTCTGCACACATTTCAGCTTGATAACATCCTTCTTAAATTGTGGTGCCCAGAATTGGACACAGTATTCCATGTGTGCTCTGACCAAGGCAGAATAGAGTGGATCTATTACTTCCCTTGATCTAGAAATTGATGATGATGATGATAATAATAATAATAATAATAATAATAATAATAATAATAATAATAATAATTTATTTATAGCCCACCCATCAGGCTAGGTTCCCCCAGTCACTCTGGTGGCTTTCAACAGAGCATTAAAACAGAATAAAACTTTAAACATTAAAAACTTCCCTAAACAGGGCTGCTTTCAGATGTCTTCTAAAAGTCAGATAGTTGTTTATTTCTTTGACATCTGAAGGGAGGGTGTTCCACAGGGCGGGCGCCACTACTGAGAAGGCCCTCTGCCTAGTTCCCACTTTTTGTAGTGAGGGAACCGCCAGAAGACGGTCCGGGATGAACAATGGGGGTGGAGACACTCCTTCAGGTATACTGGGCCAAGGCCATTTAGGGCTTTCAAGGTCAGCACCAACACTTTGAATTGTGCTCGGAAACGAACTGGAAGCCAATGTAGGTCTTTCAGGACCGGTGTTATATGGTCTCAGTGGCCGCTCCCAACCACCAGACTAGCGTCTGCATTCTGGGTTAGTTGTAGTTTCCAGGTCACCTTCAAAGGTAGCCCTACATAGAGCGCATTGCAGTAGTCCAAGCGAGAGATAACCAGCGCATGCACCACTCTGGCGAGACAGTCCGCGGGCAGGTAGGGTCTCAGCCTGTGTACCAGATGGAGCTGGTAGACAGCTGCACTGGACACAGAATTGACCTGACCCTCCATGGACAGCTGTGAGTCCAAAATTAACTCCAGGCTGCGCACCTGGTCCTTCAGAGGCACAGTTACCCCTTTCAGGACCAGGGAGTCCTCCACACCTGCCTGCCCCCTGTCCCTCAAAAACAGTACTTCTGTCTTGTCAGGATTCAACCTCAATCTGTTAGCCGCCATCCATCCTCCAACCGCCTCCAGACACTAGACTTTGGTTGATGCAGCCTAGAATAGCATCAGCTTTTTTTTTTGCGGTTGCATCACACTGTGGACTCATGTTAAGCTTGTGGTCCACCAAGACCCCCAGACCCTTTTCACGTGTACTGCTAGTAAGCCAGGTGTTCCCCATCTTATATTTGTGCAGCTGGTTTCATGCCAGAGACATTCCCAGCCACTGGGGATTGGACCTGGGAGCTTCATGCAAAACAGATGCTGTCCCACTGAGCTGTAGCCCTTCCCCTTAACAGATCAACAGATTAGGATACTTGCCTAATTGTTTATTTTCTTACAGTGCATTTATTTATTTTAGCGGATTCCGACTTCGGAGGACGTCAAAGTCAATTAACAGCAAAGAATCAAAAAGCTGTATCGAAATCAGAGACATCTAGCACAACTCCGAGAAAGACGACATCCCTAAAGCTGTGTAGTTATTTACATAATTCAAAATATCTATGTAGCAGAACTCCTGCTTCTTGCCTGAGCAGGCAGCATTAATTTATTCCATATACGATGTAATGCTTTTGCTAAATAACTCCAGAAAAACCAGAAACATACACTATTTCTTGTCTTCAAACTTCATTTTGTTTTAATGACAGCTCAAACTATTAGTGTTTACAATTTGCTTTTAATATAGGAAAAAGCACACATGGCTTATTAAACACACTTTTTTTTTTTTTTACCCGCGAAGAGAAAATAAAGATCATTTTGATGATTTATTCGCCGGCGTTTGCATGAAGACAGGTACGGCGGTGTGTGTGGCGTTTGGCGAAATGACAAAATACCATAGTTCGTTTGAGTCTATTGTTTCTGGTTCACACTCCATGCAATGTGTGTCATATTAAAATAGGATGTAATTATATAGGAGCGGCCTTAACTTAGCTAGATCTCTCTCTGTGTGTGTGTGTGTGTGTCCCCACTGAAACAAGTTAGAAACAATGGAAGCGGTGAGGAAAAAACTCTCTTTTTAAGAGCTTGGTTCAGGTTTTTGCTGCAACTGAGCCATTTCATAAACCTCTCACAAAAATTAACCGTTGAACTATCCAATAAAAGAGGTCTTAAAAGCACAAGCCTTTCTAGATTGCGCACTGCTCACTGTGAGGCATTGGTCACTGTACTCTGACGTAAAAGATATTCGTATTGGGCCCAAACCGGTCAACAATAGAAAGTGTCCTTTCAAACTGCATCACGGTGTGGTACGCTGGTTTGACATCATCTGATAGGAAGTGCCTACAGAGGGTGGTGAATACAGCACAAGATATTATGGGCTGTCCCATGAATCCGCTGGATGAAACAGCGGAAGAACGTTGCCTCAGGAGAGTGAGGAAAAGTCTCAGGGATGATTCACACCCAGGCCAGCACTTTCTTGATCTCCTGCCCTCGGGCAGAAGATATAGAAGCATGACTAGTCACACCAACAGGGTAAAGAACAGCTTCTATCCGTGGGCTGTTAGGCTGCTGAATGAAAGATAACAACAGGGCAACTGACTTTCGGGTTTGGTGTGTGTGTGTCAGTAAACGAGGGGAATTAAGACTAAGAGAGCTGAGTGGGAGGTGCGCTTGTATAATCTCACGGTATACAAGTTGTACAAATGACAATAAAGTACTTCAATGATGATGATTTCAAATTGCTTCATCTCCAATAAAAGGAGAGGGGTACACGCTGCTCCAAAGAGAGGTCTAAACTTGTAAGACGAATCCCGCTGGGTTAGAACAAAGGCCACAAGGATCTGATTTGCCCAAGATCAAAAGGATTTGAATCCAGCTTAGAATAATAGAATAGTAGAGTTGGAAGGAGAGCCAAGGGTCATCTAGTCCAACCCCTTGCAATTCAGGAATCTCAGCTAAAGCATCCATGGCAGATGGCCGCCCAAACTCTGCTTAGAAACCTCCAAGGAAGGGGAGTCCATAGCCTCCCAAGGGAGACAGTTCCACTGCCAAACAGCTCTTACTAGGTCTTAATCCAGCAGTTGCTGTTTTTCTCCTTTTTAAAGGACTGTCAGCTGGATAGAGCAATGTGCATGCACACGAAAGCTTATACAGTGGTGCCTCGCAAGACGAAAAGAATCCGTTCCGCGAGTCTCTTTGTCTTGCGGTTTTTTCGTCTTGCGAAGCAAGCCCATTAGCGGATTAGCGCTATTAGCAGCTTAGCGGGTCAGCTGTTAAGCGGCTTAGCGGCTTAGCGGATCAGCTGTTAAGCGGCTTAGCGATCAGCTGTTAAGCGGCTTAGCGGCTTAGCGGATCAGCTGTTAAGCGGCTTAGTGGATCAGCTGATAAGCGGCTTAGTGATCAGCTGTTAAGCGGCTTAGCGATCAGCTGTTAAGCGGCTTAGCGGCTCAGCTGTTAAGCGGCTTAGCGGATCAGCTGTTAAGCGGCTCAGCGGATCAGCTGATAAGCGGCTTAGCGATCAGCTGTTAAGCGGCTTAGCGGCTCAGCTGTTAAGTGGCTTAGCGATCAGCTGTTAAGCGGCTTAGCGGCTTAGCTGTTAAGCGGCTTAGTGGGTCAGCTGATAAGCGGCTTAGCGGCTTGGGAAAAGGGGGGGGGGAGGAAAAAACCCCTGCAGGAACTCGCAAGACATTTTCATCTTGCGAAGCAAGCCCATAGGAAATTCGTTTTGCGAAGCACCTCCAAAACGGAAAACCCTTTCGTCTAGTGAGGCATTCGTCTTGTGGGGCACCACTGTACCAAGAACAAACTTAGTTGGTCTCTAAGGTGCAACTTGACATTTTTATTATTATTTTATATACAGTGGTACCTCTGGTTGTGAACAGGATCCGTTCCGGAGCCCCGTTTGCAACATGAGCAGAACACAACCCGTGTCTGCGGGTTGCAATTCGCCACTTCTGCGCATGACATCATTTTGAGCGTCTGCGCATGCGCAAGCGGCAAAACCTGGAAGTAACCCTTTCCGGTACTTCCGGATCACCACGGGACGCAACCTGAAAAGATTTAACCTGAAGCAAACGTAACAAGAGGTATGACTGTGTATCAACTGCGTTGGACCAACATGTCTATCTACCTGAATCTAGAGCATTTTGAGGCACAACTTGCGCGGGGCGAACATCTAAGGGCACCACGTTGACTACTCCTGTCTC